CAAGCCAAAAGGAAAGAGTGCTGTAGGGGAAAGCATAGTCCCAGAGGAAAAAGACCCAGGTTCTAGAAAGGATGCTATCCCTTCCTCAAGGGTGGCACCTGAGGTTAAGCCTGAGCTTGTGAGTCTAACTGTCGACAAGCACTCTGGGCTGCCCCTTCTCAACTGTGTGACCTTGGCCATGTTACTTACCTGCTCTGTGCCTAGGTTTCCTCATCTGTAAAATGGGGATAATAATAATATCCACTGACTAGGGCTTTAACAAGGACGAAATGAGAAAGCCCATGTAAAATGCTTAGACTAGTGCTCAGAATGACCATCATCATTGACATCATCCTGTCAAGTCATCTAAGACTGACCTTCCACTTTGTGCCTGTAAAGTAAGTATCCCTTCCACCTGCTTCCTAGGAGAGTTGCGAAGACAAATGAGATGATTTATGTGCAAAGTTATATAAATGTATGTTACTATATTTACGAAATTGTACAAGAGATGATTTCATGGTTGTCCACACCTCAGCTGAGTAGATTATTTTAGATGGTTTGACAAACCTGAAATGGTGTAGATATTGCACCCTAGTGGTGAAATCACAGATGTTTACAATCTGTCTCATTAACCCCTCTGTGCCTTCACTCCTGGCCTAAAATACTCTCCCCTGTCTTCTCATCAAGCTGTATAACCTCTATGAACAATTTTTTGAGAGATTTATGTAGTCTTTGTAGTTTTCAAACTGGATGTTCTCAAGCAGGGACTGGATGTTCATCTCCCAGAGGATGTTGCAGAAAGATCCTGTGTGTTGTGGACTGAATATTTGTGTCCGTCCAAAATCCATATGTTGAAATCCTAACCCCCCCCCCAATGATGGTATTAGGAGGCGGGGCTTTGGGGAGGTGATTAGATCACGAGAGTGAACCTTTATGAATGGATAGTGCCCTTGCGAAAGAGGCCCAGGGAGCTCTCTTACCCCTTCTGCTCTGTGAGGACACAGTGAGAAGACTGCCGTCTGTGAACTGGGAAGTGAGGTCTCACTAGACAGAGAATTTGCTGGACTTTGATCTTGGACTTCCTAGCCTCACAACTATGAGAAATAAATTTCTATTGCTTATCAGCCACCCAGTCTATGGCGGTTTGTTACAGCAGCCAGAACTAAGACACTGTGCTTGGTAGGAGGTTAGACCAAATCATCTCCTAGGTCCAATCCACTCCTCAGAGTTCACGTTTCTCTTCTGCTTTCATTGATATTCTGCTCCTCTAGATAACAATAATAACAATAATGATAAGTATGACTTCCTGAGTGCCTATTATGTACAAGGCACCGTGAATACAATGATTTAATCATCGCCACAATCCTGAAAGTAGATATTTCACAGTCAAGGAAAAGAGGTCTCAGAGTAGTCCAGTGACTCTCCCAAGGTCCCAGCTTGCCAGTGGCAGAGTGCCTGATTCTAAAGCTCTATCATCCCAATTACTTCCTAACCAAAGATCATTGGCTCATTAAGAGCTGGAGTTGAAAGAGACCTTGAAATAATTTATCCAAACTTTCCACAGTTCAGGGAATGTTTGTATAGGATCCATGTCGGAAAGTCATCTAAAGTCTTTTTACATATTTTTATTTATTTATTTTTTTTGCGGTACGCGGGCCTCCCACTGTTGTGGCCTCTCCCGTTGTGGAGCACAGGCTCCGGACGTGCAGGTTCAGAGGCCATGGCTCATGGGCCCAGCCACTCCGCGGCATGTGGGATCTTCCCAGACCGGGGCACGAACCCGTGTCCCCTGCATCGGCAGGCGGACTCTCAACCACTGCGCCACCAGGGAAAGCCTTTTTACACATTTTTTAATGATGGGAGATCACTGTCTCCAAAGATTTGTGGGAAAAGCTCTAGGCTGAGTTGGAGAAGCTGGGTCTCAGTACCAATTCTATCACTTATTAGTCAAGTAACTTCACACAGGTTACTCAAACTATTTGATTCCCACTTTTTTGTCTATAAAATGAGAATAATGTACCTCAGGATGAAAGGAAAAAATGCACCTTGTAAACTGTAGCAATGCTTACAGTAGTTGGTTAAGCGCTTGTTCAGTTTTCAAAATTTGCCTTCTTGTAACTTTATCTGTTTTCAGTTCTGTTTAAAAAGATGGGGCAAATTCATCTGTTCATAATTACGGGGTTGCTGCTACATGCCTGGTGCTGGGCTGGGTCCTGGGTATACAGTAACGAACAATACTGTCACTGCCTGTGAAAATCTAGTTACTGACTCTTCCACTTAAAACACCCCAAAAACTATTTTTGAGAACCTTCTCTATAAAACCTCTTCAAATATCAAAAAAACAACTATCATGATCATGTGACTCGGTTCTTGTAACCAATCTGCAGACTTTTTCATCCTTCTCTGCTAACTGTTCTTTATTGAGGGACATTACAGGGTCATGGATTAAGACAAAGTGGGACCTGCGGGAAATTACAAAAACCTCTCTGTGCCTCAGTTTCCTGATCTGTAAAATGGGGATGAGAAGATGACCCGTATCAGAGAGTTCTTAGAATTTCATAAACTAATGTGGATAAAAGTTTTAGAACCATGCCTAGCACACAGCAAGCTGATTAATCTTCAAATGTATTTGTAAGAATTCATGTGCAAAAGAGCAGCAGCAGTTCACCTGGGAAGAAACTATTTGCGGGGCTGGAAGGGTCACCAGAGACGCGTCCTCAGGGACCCGGGTCACTTCAGACGCCTGATGGGCCGCGCCGCACCCGCCTTACCTCCTCTCTGACTCTCCGCTCGGCTTCCTCCTGCTTCCTCCTCTGCCCCTCCTCCTCCAGGACCTTCCTTCGCTCCTCCCTCTTCTTCTTCAGCTCCTCCAGCTCCAAGGCCGCCTCCTGCTGCTTCTGCTTGAGCTTCTCGAACTCCTCGCTTTCAGTTTCCCCGCGGCGGCGGCGCAGCTCCTCCAGCCGCTTGCCGGCTTCCACTTGGGAAGCGCCTTCAGCCTCCTTGGCCTCGCTGGCCCTCCCTCCGGGGCGGCTGCAAAGGAGTTGGACACACGTCTGCCTTGCAGCTCCCCTCCTCCCGCCTTAGGGAGGGGATGTCGGTCTGCAGGCTTTGCATCCCACACCGAATTCTCCACTGCCCTCACTGGAGAGTGGATCCTCACACCTGTCCAAGGGGTAAGTAGGGGTCCACCTGGAATCTCCAGGTCTGCATCTGAGTCCCTGCTCTGCCACTTACCCTGGGTTTCCTTGACTGTACAATGGGGGCAAATAGGCACTGTTGGTGGGATTGTAAATTGATGCAGCCACTGTGGAGGCTCCTCAAAAATTAAAAGTAGAACTGCCATAGGACCCAGCAATTCCACTTCTGGGTATTTATTCAAAGAAAATAAAAACAGTGACTCAAAAAGATACACGCACCCCCATGGTCGTGCAGCATAATTTACAGTAGCCAAGGTATGGAAACAACCCAAGTGTGCATTGATGGATGAATGTATAAAGAAAACGTGGTAAAAATACATACAATGGAATATCATTCAGCCACAAAAAGAAGAAATCTTGTTTAAATACTCATTAACAAGTAGTGAGGGCATTCTTAACTGTATCTGAACATAGGTAGCCCATTTCTGACACTTTTGTAACAGATGAATTACTATGGTCTAGTATCATTTATTCCATGTAGAGAATGGCACAGTGTTTCTAGCTATGAAGCAAGAAGAATAAAACAGAAAATCAGTTCAAGATTACACAGTTACCAATATTGATCTTATGTGTACGTCTCATGCTTTTAAAATAATGAGGTAGCTCTGAATAAACTATGTCCTTTAGGACTATGCTTTTCAAGCTGCAGGTTGGAAAATCTATTTAGTGGACTGTAATTAGTGTTTAAAAAATGAACTAGAAAACATCAGAGGGCATTGCATGGAACAAGGAAAAAGACCATTTCTTTTTTTTTTCGCGGTACGCGGGCCTCTCACTGTTGTGGCCTCTCCCGTTGCGGAGCACAGGCTCCGGATGCGCAGGCTCAGCGGCCATGGCTCACGGGCCTAGCTGCTCCGCGGCATGTGGGATCCTCCCGGATCGGGGCACGAACCCCTGTCCCCTGCATCAGCAGGCGGACTCTCAACCACTGCGCCACCAGGGAAGCCCAAGACCATTTCTTGATGTGCTTGTTTCAGTTATATATGTAGATGTGTAATGGGTTATGATGTAAAATTTCTTACTAGAAGTTGAGGTTAAAAAGTTAAAAAAATATTCTGCTAGGTTCTTGATGGTTAAAGATGAACTTTTATTTTTAACTCATTCAAGGTTAGAGCGTCCCTTAAAACTTGGTATTGCTTTTTCAGTCTTAAAGGCCCATAGGCCTGTGACTCCAAAGAGGAACTCTCCCCTTTCAGTTAAAGTCTCTCCATCTTCAGAGATGAGTTTGCTCTCTCTGTGTTCATCGTGTTAGTGTTTGGTAGGACTGAAAAACACATGCCTAGAGAAACTTCTCTGGATTCCACTAGGTGTCACTCAGTCTTTATAGTGGGCATTCAAATGCCCATCATTAGGGACTGGTTAAATGAATCATGACACATCCATCCAGTGGGACACTCTAACATTAACTGTAGGCTTATATTCACTGGTATAGAAGGCTAGCTAAGATACATTGCTATGCACAGAGCAAGAATCACTTTAAAATAGAGATTTATAATTATATACACATATACATATGTATATGTGTGTGTGTATTTTGAATGTATATACATAGAGAGCATCTGGAAAAAACGTTACTGGTGGTTTCCTTGGGTGATGGGTACTTAACTTGCTCCTTGAATTGAGATTTTCATGTCACGTTTTAGAGAAAACAATTTAGCTATAAGAAAATGGGTCTATCAAAGGGAACAGTAATTAAATCAAACAAAAGGAGCTATGCTCAAAACAGGAACAAGAGTTCTGTCCACATCACCTCTGCTCAGATATGCAGGCATGCCCTCAGCATTAGGGTAGCACCAATATGGAAATTTCTTCCGGAAGGTTCTTTCCTCTATCCTTGGCTTCACTAGGTGAAAGTTGAGATGAACATCAGACCTTTCACCATGAACACAGCTTGTTTTCAGTTAGACTATTAGGCACTAAGCTAAGGTAAACAGAGGCTCTTACTCCCTTCCTGGCTCCTCACCTTATTACTATATGGAGCAAAATGAGGCGTCTCTGCTTCTATCGGCATCAACTTCTAACTGAAACTAAAACTATGGTATGTTGGCAGCTAAACAAAAACTAACAATATGGTGGCAGCTTGTTTCTTTTTTTTTCTGCCCAGACAGAAAAATTAAAGCAAGAGTCCCATTTACGGGTTCTCACTGCTTAATCTGTTGCCATCCCTTGTGACTTCTCTCTTTGAGTTACCCAGTTATCTGGATTTTCAAACAATGGGCATGTTAATTATTTTTTTTTTTTTTTTGCGGTACACGGGCCTCTCACTGTTGTGGCCTCTCCCGTTGCAGAGCACAGGCTCCGGACGCGCAGGCTCAGCGGCCATGGCTCACGGGCCCAGCTGCTCTGCGGCATGTGGGATCCTCCCGGACCGGGGCACGAACCCGTGTCCCCTGCATCGGCAGGCGGACTCTCAACCACTGCGCCACCAGGGAAGCCCTGGGGATGTTAATTATTAATTTGAGCTTTGACTGAAGCTGGTTGACAAGTTTGCCGATTGTTAACCAAACTTCTTTCTACTGACAGATTTTTTTAATGTTATTTCTCTTAACAAAATTGTACTCTTATCTACAACACATGTTTTAAACTATCAAGTAATTAAACAATAATATTATTAGGTAATATTCTTTGAACACTTTTTATGAACCTGACACTGTTCTAGGGCTTTAACACATTAAACTACTGGCACTTCAGCAAGCTCTGCACTCAGCTTATCAGCCTGAATCAAACTTGATTTCTAGTTTTCTATGAATTCCTAATAAACTTCATTTTTACATCTACTTTCTTGCCAATTCCAAGTAACATCTATAGGTTCTACCCTTCTCACTCCTTCACACTTTATTTAGTCTTTGAATACACACCTTTTCTTCCATGTGCTTTCGGCTCTCTTTTGGCTAATTGTGACTAGGTTTTCTGCTCAAAATTTTGTGTAGAAAAATTGTTTGGGAACAACTATATTTACGTAACATCTTAGAGCGGCTGGAAATGTCCATCCTTAGTATTTCCGTTTGCTTCTGGATGTTACACAGGCTTTGGTGTAAGGAACAGTCTGACTTCCATACAATACCTACTTGGAACTTTCTTCTTTGAAGTGTTCCGGAAAGCAGGGTCTACAGGCAAGGCGGTTGCCAAAGAACAACCCCATGGGAATCCATGTTACAGGGACCCAAGACTCTTTTCCAGAACACCTGGCACAGCAGCCAGCGACATAACAGAGATTGGAATTTGGCACTAGCGGCTGGAGGGAGTGTGTGTGTAGGAATGGGGCACAGAGAGTTAGGTAGCCAGGTGTCCATGGCAGGCTTCTGCAACTTGAGTCCTTCTACAAAGCTGATGGGGGGCTCTCCATAGTCAACGTACCTAGAAGTGAGGATTTGCCTGCATATACTTGTCTATCTGTCCTAAAATCAATCGCTTTAATGGGGGAGGGGATAAGGAGGGGAAGCTGAAGCTCTGCAAGAGGGTTTTCCAAACTGGAGCATTAGTTGCATGCCCTCTTCCTCCCTCTTAGAGATTCCCAAGGCAAATTAACATCAAGGGCTCTCAAAGTGGTAAAGAGATCTGACTCATTTAGTTTAACCCAATGTTTCCAAAGTATTTGGCCACAGGGAAATCTAAGTTTTATGCAGCAATTTATTTACAACCTTTAGAAAATACATTCTTTAAAATGGTACTGAGAAGGGTCTCTTATAAAGTTGGGTGGACCATACAGAGAATGAGTCAATGACAACTCCAGTCATAATGTTTTCTAATAAACTGATCTTACATGAACATATTAGATCAGCGAACAAAAACATGGCTGCCAAGCATGATCCGCCTTGCCAAATAATGGGAAAAGCAGATCAAACCTTGTCTGAGCAATGCCTGCTGGTCTCCTGTTAGTGACTGATAGCCAGACCTGCTGACTGAGTATCTGTAAGACAATGGCCAATGACCTCACAACAAAAGTAGGTTGCCTGTTAGCACATTTCTGTCTGGAAGCACAGGGTAGGGAGACTGATTATTACTATTATTTTTTCACATATGAACACAGCCACTGTTAACTAGTCACAACTTCTTACCTGAAAGTATTCTCAGTGTGTTTAAGTTTGTGGGTCATGAATTCTCCATTCTGCGACTTCATTTCTGTAAATCCCTTCTTTCCATCCAAGAAGCTCTTAACTTCTTTGCTTTCTTTGTCCCTTTTAGTCTTCTCATCTTTGATCTAACCAATGGTACATATCAGGAAGAAACATAATGATAATAATCTTAATTAGGTTTTGGTTGGTATCACCAAATAAGACCCAACATCGTTAGGAAGCCAGAAAACTCAGAAGTAAAACAAACTACCGGAGAATGATGTGGTATAGCTGGAATCAGAGGAGATTCTCAGAGCATAAGCTGTGGTCCTCTAGCCTCTGAGCAAGGACCTTGACCACAATTTTAGGAGGTCAGGATCATCCCTTATTTCACTGAGGTTTTATTTTCAAAAGTAGTGGAGGTGTTACCATTTAGAAACTATTGTGTTCTGGGAACTCCACATAAGAGTGGTTGTTTTCAGTTTCCACTGGGAGGAGCAATTATTAGTGTGGCCTTGATGGGAGAACGGCCAGGTTGCTTGGATGAAGGGCACTTCTTTGAGAAGGACACAGATGTGTTGAGGAGGGAATAAGAAACCTACTGAGCCAGAACTGTCAAGCCAATTTTGGCGGATGTCAGAGGAAGACCACCCTAGTATTTTAATCAAATGAATAACTAGGGTCCCCAGGATAGAAGACATAATAACCCTACTTTTAGCGGGATGGCTCAGAGACCTGTGGGGCCATGTTTGTAGTCATCTCAACCATTAAAGATAGAATGGAACAGGAAAAATTCCAGGGTTGACTTTGACTTCCATTGAAGGTAATAATTTAGTCTCTGGAAGTGGCTTTATGATTGTTGTGGAAGACAGAGGAAGGTGATACATGGAGAGCAGGTGTTAGCTTTAATTTTTTTGTGTGGGTTTTGTGTTACAAGTTCCTCACAGTAAGTGAGACAGATTATTTCAAAGTATACTGAATTTACATAGCTTTTTGGGGGGTAATGGAGTTCAAATTACTTTATCTTTATCATCTCACCCATTCTTTAAAAATGAGTGTGAAAACAGGTGAGGCTCATTATTTCTCATTTCTAGACAAACAGTGACAGAGCACTAACATTATAAAGAAACCTAAGGAGGAGGGTTTGGGCGTAAGAACTCAGGGCTTCAGGGACTGCCCAGGATGGTCTCCCCTTACCTCATCACTCACCTCTTCGCAGCTGTTATACTTCAGATACCTAACCCCCACCAAAGTGCATGTTTTACTAAGCAGAGGACATTTTTTTGCTCTTCACTGATGAACCTTCAGTAGTCCTTTGCCTGACTGCCTTTGTTGAGTATTATTTGATTAAATTACTATTGATGGACTCTTCACTACCATGTTGCCCTAATCAGTTAAGACTTTAATCTTTCTCCAAGGGGCATATATCTAGGACATCCCTTGGACATGCTGAAGAGGGGGGCTGTTATTTTGCCATTCTCTCTGAGAGCTTTGTAATCCGAGTTTTAGTTCTATTGCTGTCAACAAACTAGCTGTTACTTTAAGTCACCTAGCTTTCCTGGAGTGCTGGCTCCATGTACATAAAAAGAGAGGGGTGCACTAGACGATCCCTTCCTAATCTTTCATCCTGTCATTTCCCTCTTGGCTCCAGATTTGTCCTGAGAGGCGACAGAGAAGAGAAGGAAGCTCCTAGTCTGTCCTAAGGCTTTAATAAGGCTCCTTGGTGACTATCCTTGCCTGATGGTAAATCAGTATTCATTGGGCAGGCAGGAGCAAGCAAAGTCTCTTCTCATTTTGACCTACCATTGTTGGGTATAGTTCCAGAAACTATGGACTGGAGTTTATATCCTGGTTAACAAGTATCTGGGGGATACACGTTTAAGAGTGAGGGGGTCCCATTTCAGGGAACCCACGAAAGAAATTGTGAGTCAAATCTCATAGTTTGCAGAGCACTATACAAAGAGAAATCCCCTTTGACTGGTTTCTCCTATTTTGGAGTCTGGGATATTTCCCAGATACCTCCCAAAATGTACTATCTAATTTACCATCCAAAGATGTGTATAAGATAGATTTGTAAAACAATACATGTCTAACAGAAGAAAAATCCCTTTTTTTCAAGCTCTGCCTTTATTGGCAAAGTTATGTAGATCGTATGCTTATATTCTCTTTGGAAGACTTTCTTAGAAAAATTCCCAATGAAATAATGATAATGATGCTGACTGCAAATTATTTTTTCTTTCTGGGAAATGAATAAATAAAGTAATTCCATAACACTTTAAGAAGCACAGTGGGTTGGATTCTATAGCAGATTCAACCTAAGCTAATGGGATATTCTGAGCCCACTCGGAAAAGCATTAGAGCCTCTAGATCGAAATGTTACCATGAAGAGAATCTATGCTGATGGATTAATACGGGGTTACATATCCTGAAGGAGCTAAAGTGCTTCCTATACAGATAACACCAGCATGCTCATATGAAAGGCTCTGGTCAAATGCGATCATTGGGATAACACTATGGGTAACTGGGATATTCAGTGGGATAACACACGGGTGTATGTGTGTGGGGTGGGAATTCCAGTGACATGCCCTTGTGCCAGAGAGACACTCAGAAGGTTGTGAGCAAGTCTGAAAGGACTGAGACGCCAGTCTCTGTGCTGTATCGCTTTGCATCATTTGATTCCAGAATAGTGATAAGAACTGTTGCAAGTTACAGTTTTTCAGACTAAGTTGAATATACTTTTGTTAGATTCAGAAGCCTCAATTCCTTTTCCAAGTCCAACGTCTACCACATGGATATCCTTGCTACTTGCTACTGGTCCACGGACAACATGGATTTCACCAGGGAGCTGAGGCTCTACCCAGATCCACTGAGTCAGAGTCTGTGTTTCACAAGTTCCCAGGTGATCAGCATGCACACTGATGTTTAGTGAGAGGCTTTGGCCTACGTGACATTAATATCAGTTTCAATATTATATGAATAGCTCTGCTGGAAACTGTTTTCCTATTAGAGGCCAGAACAAAAAAAGAGCTCTGGGGTCAAGAACTAAAAGGAGGCATTTTATAGCACGGGGAACTATATTCAGTATCCTACGATAAACTGGAAAAGAATATCAAAAGAAAGAATGTATATATGTATAACTGAGTCACTCTGCTGTAGAGCAGAAATGAACACAACTCTGCACTTCAACTATACTTCAATAAAAACATTTTTTTTAATTTAAAAGGAGGCATTTTGTAGTTGGGGAAGAGAAAAAGCGAAATTAGGTTTCAAGGTTGCTGGTCATCTGCGATCCATCACCGCAAAGAGTTAAACTGCAGTGGGAGAAAGAAGGTTTTTTGTAAGGTATTGGAGTGACTCTTCTGGAAATGTTGCTCACCTGACGTTTGTGTTTACCTATCCTACGCAGCTCCTTGAATTCAAAGGAAAGACTTTTTTTGAGGGGGGGAACAAAAAGGTGGGATGCGGGGCGGGGATGGAGGAGGGCGTTTAAAATGGCTAAATCATGTAAAATATGACTTAAAGTTATCTACATGAAGCAACTACACAAATAGCTGGAGAGGGGGAAAATCTAGTCCTTCAACTAGTAATTTATGTATGCAATGTTAAAACAGGAATAGCAGATTTTTTTTTTTTTTTTAAGCTTGGGTTGAGGAGCTAATCTGTCCTCGTGTCAAAAAGAGGCCAAGTTTTGGGACACTGGAATGTGCTGGAGGGCAAACAGGGAAAGGGCAGGTCTGAAATCATCATACCATGGCCATTATTGAACTGGGGCCTTATCTGAAAAGAGGCAAAAGGATGATTGGATGACTGCTGATGAGCCCCTTCTAGCTCACGGACATAATACATGAACGCAGAATGCCTTGGTCATTAAAAACAAATCACATCTTGGTGAACTGAGTTAAATCAGGATGAATTCAAACAGTTATTCAGCCTCTCCTGCTCCACATAAACTTAATCACTGAGTTATGATTTCATGCCCTCGTCCTTCTGTACTGAAAGATATTCCCCACAAAACACTAGCTTTAGAGATGAACCCATGTGGGATATTTCTGTTTTAGTCCCAAGGTAATTTTCATTTTTTGGAGATGAATTTGTAGGTGTTCCTCTGTTACAAAATGAGAACAATGTTTCCCAACACGTTTAACAATTTCTTTAGCTGCTTCATTAGAGCCAAATTCAATTTTCTAGTTATTAGTATTTACTCTTTCTCCTGCTTTTAACTGGGCAGTGTTCACATTCAGTTTCCACTCCCAAGCCACCACAAGTTCTATTAGAAACAGGGAGGAACACATACCGTAAACAAAATAGATATAACATGAACTAGGAGTTCTTACTTTTTACATGAATCTTAGGAAAAAAAGTTTAAGAAAATAACCATCCCCCTGCTTAATCTCATCTATTTGCTAAATATGGATTTTTCTGTGTCTTACTCTATGCCATAACGGGCAGAGAAATGCAGCAAGAGTCCATTTGAGTTGGAGCTCAATAGCTACAATTCAGTCCCACAGGCAGAGTAATTCAAGTCTTTTTACCTTTGATACTTTAATTTTACCATGTTTAAGTACTTTGAACTTGTTAAATACTGTCATAGTTTTTAGGATTGCTTGGAACTGACATAAGCATGATGGTTAAAACAAGGTCAGGCTTTCTGATGTAGCTTTTTAATTATGTTGGGGGCATAATGGCATTCTCTCTGCAGCTCTGGTCCACTGACTTGTTTACTTACCTACAGTCAAACACCCTGGCACCAGCTCCTGTGTGTGCCTCAGAAATGCAATGCAGAACATTGTGCCAAACTTTTCTTTTGAAAACCAAATATCATCTTCAGTTCATCAATTTTTTTACTGAGATGTGTGAGAGTATTTTTCCTTTGAAAAGTTAAATCATTAATCAAAGCCAGTTGCAAATATTTCATGATTGAAACGAAAGTAGGATGGCTCAAGGAAAACAAAATAGCACTTGGGAGAGTAGAAAGTGGGTAAGATTGATCAGAGGAGTGTTTTTCAAGCTTTCTGACTGTGACCCACAGTAAATAAAGACAATTTATATCACAGTGAAATACTTACTGGCCATGATGCCCTCTGATATTTTCTGTTCTATTTCATTTTAAAAATGCAGATTGATACATTTAGCTAATTTTGAGATGCTTTAAGTTGATTTCACCATTCAATGGATCATGAGTCATGGCTTGAAAAACACTGGATTAGAGGTTACAATCTTCATCAGACCTGAAATGTCGTGGAACACTGCTCTCTGTTGCTTTATGACTAGGTTCTTTCTCAATGATATTTACCTCTTCTTTTTTGAAGGTAGGCTTGTCTTCTTGGGACTTTCCTCTTTTAGCTTGCATTTTAGCCCCCCTTTCTTCTTCCTTTTTATTTTCAAGAATGGTAAGGTCACTCATTTAAAAGAAGCCCTTGCTAGCTTACAAGAGTGAGAGGGTGCTCAGGTCACTCGGCATGTGGCGTGAAGTGACTTCTCTTTGGCTGTCCCAATGCTCACATTCACCCCGTGCCAGTGGTTCTAAACAGCAACTTGGGATAGTTTCCTCCCCGCAAAATCTTTTCTCATGAGCCTGCCATCGTGCTCACTGAAATCTAGCGTGATGTGGTGCATCAAGTACGTGTTGACAAATCTTGTGTGTGGTCTGGTGCATCATGTTCCTGATCATCTCAATGGAAGCTGTGTTTATGAGCCCCTTGTAAGAAGCAGGAGTGAAAGACAACTGCAGTGCAAGGCAGACTTAGCGACAGAGAGTTCTCTCTGGAAAGGTGGATACACAAGCATTTCTTTTTTCTTTTTTCTTTTTTTTTTGCGGGGTAGATGGTGGTGGTACAGTGGTGGTGGTTAGGTATAGTGCTCTTAATGCAGCCTTGCAGACAGACGAAAAAATATTTCTTAGCTTACAAATATTCCCCCACCCCCTATTTCCACACTTCCTTGTGCTACATAAATTTGTGTCACCCAGGTGGTAAAAGACGCAAAATGTGTGCTCTTAATTGCCAGTCAGTTTTAAGTTGATGCTACCCCAGATGAATGGCTTTCTGCAAGTTTACATTAAGCTCAGGTCTACATGATGGCAAATCAGGGTTTTGACACTTTTTATAAAAGGTCCAAACTGCCTCCTTTCCCTCCCTTATTACCAGTTAATTCCAAGGGGGTTATTTTGCCTCCTTAAGATGATATTTCTGACCATGATTCATCATGTCAGTTTCCCACCCCAACTTTTAGCATATTTTATTAAATGCCAAACACACAGGTAAAGTGAGGAGTTATGGTCCCCCTGCCTCATGTAGACCTGTGGATAGAGATAGGTTGTTAAAAGGAATAAGTTTAGATGCAGTGCAGAATCATAAGTCAATGCAGCACCACCACATTTGTCATCTTTGGGTTCATTCATTTTTTCTGGTATTCACAGCAACCAAGCACAGAGCAATTCACTTCTCTCTGGTTGTACCAGTAAATTTGGTTGGTGGAATAGTTAGCTATCAATTGATTGCTTTATACTTGCACATTGCTGTGACCTAAAAAAATGAGCAGCTTGCCAAATGATCAAGCACGTGGGGCTGTAGGAATGTGGGCTCAGTCCCAAATTTGATGTGCATTACATTTCTCGTAAGTTGCAGGCATCACACATTTGGTGCAAAATGTTTACTGTACCTGTTTCTTTGGGACAGCTGTCTGAAGTTTATCTTCTTGCACTTTCTTTTCATTGACCCACTTCCCTTCTGTTTTCTCCTCTACCTTTTCCCCTTTTATCTTTTTCTCTTGCGTTTCCCTTTTTTTCTCTTCTAGTTGCTTCTTACGCTTTTGCTCTTCTATCTGAGCTCTCTCTTCTTCCTCTGCCTTTGCCCGCTGCCTCTCCTCTGCTGCCCTTCTCTCCTCCTCCTTAATCCTTTCCCTCTCCTTTGCCTCCCGTCTTTCTCTCTCTTGTGCAGCTGCTTTTTCTTCTGCTTCCTTTCTCGCTTTCTCCTCTGCTATTTTTTGTTCTTGCTCGACTTTAATTCTTTCTCTTTCTTCTGCTTCCAACCCGGCCCTTTCTGCCTCAGCTCTTTCCCCCCCTTCCTGTTCCATTTTTCCAT